CTGAGTGCGGCCATCCAGCCAGTCACCTGGACATCCTATGGCCGCTATGAAATTGATATGCTACAGAGGGTGGCAGGGTATAGCAAACTGTCTTGGGACTGGCAGTGAATATTTATATCCCGGCTCTGCCACCTTCCCTTCTTTGGGCTATTGGATATGCCTGGGCGGTTGATGAAGCAGGCATGTGCTTGTTCTGCCAGGGCTTTAGGCTGGCCGTGAACCAGCTGCAATCCAAAAGCTGTGTAGTCTTGTTAGCAGAGCCAAACGAGCATGCCTCTAAAGAGGGCTTAGTAACTTGGGCTTGATGTGTGGGAGCTGCCTGGCGGCTTGGAAGTGAGCATGGGTGTGATGGTGCAAGTAAAACCCACTCTGGACATGCTCTCCCCACTGGTTGTTGCCTCCGCAAGGTGATGGCAGTGGTGCTGCCACATCCCAGCGGGGCTGAGGGTGGAGGAATTAATCTTGGTGTGTTTGAGACACGCTGCCCTGTGTAACAGCAACCGATGGTGCCGAGGTACAGAGTGTTGCCCAGCTGTATGGGAATAATACCGGTGCCAGGCAGCCAGGGCTGAAAGCTCCCTCTGGAAAGACTGCCTTGCAGAAAGCAGCACTTCCTCCGACACAAAGCTTGGCACTTTGTTCTGGTCACCATAGCTATTTAGAAAGTGGTGTTTCCACAGGTCCATGCTTTTCCATACTGCTGATCAGATTCTGGAGGATGCTGGAGACGTAGCATTTTAACGGATGAAACTTTACCAAGAGAAAGTGCTTCTGATACTAAGCCAAATCTAGCTTTGCAGTATCTATATAGAATGTGCTAAAGGATGTAGAGATGAACAGCCTGTGTACAGTATTTTCTTAGCAGGGAGATCTTCAGGAGAAGAGGACAGAAATGATTAACAATTGATATGAGAACCTCTTATTTCACTGGAAAAAACTCACTGCGGTGTTTCATTCTTTCAAAGGAAACCTGCATGCTTTTAAATTAATCAAACCATTACATTTCCGTTATGCAGTGTCTAAAGTGCAGTTAGTGGCTGTGTCTTTTTGCCTATTTTAATGTGGAGGTCTTGTCCCCAGTAATCATAGCACTCTCCCTTCTGATGGAGCTGTTGGGGAAAGCAGGGAGCAAATACAGAGTCTGTGACAAAGCAGAGGAATCAAACCTCTCTCACAGGCAGATGGATCTTCATCTATGTAGTATAACTTATTTATCAAGTAAAATTTTAACAGGATACTCCGAATTTTTCCAACAATGAATTATGCAGAGCTGTTGAACTTCAGATACTCTTTGCAAATCCAAATTTTTAATGCCATTTTCCCCTTCTTTTTTCTGTTCACAGTCAAAAACCCTAAGTATAACCAATGTTGATACAGCAAATGATGTAATTCTGATGGCCCTGCAGCAGCTGGGAATTAACGTAAGTCCTTGCACCAGTTTTAATGAGGCTTTTTGTAGTCACTTTTAATAATCAAATCTTCTCTTGCACTTTTTCCAAGTTCTAGAATATGAACATTAATTAAATCCTTTATCATAGCAATTCAGTGTTGAAATGAGGCAAAAGTGCCTTGTTAATGTATAGACCTCCAGAGATCATCAAGTGCCTTAAAAGCTTTGAGAGCCTCTCATCCCGGTGAGGGATCCGTCATGTTTGAAGTTGCTTTTAAATCTATTTTGTTGATGCCTAAGAGGAGATGTCAAAAAGTGAAAGTCTTCTACAGCTCCATTTGCAGACTTCAGTGTGACCAGGAAACCTACTGACCTGCTTGTGCGTTGGTTTCAAAATGTACAAACATGCATGATCGGCAGTGGCCCCAGATTACATGTACAAGCACTGCTCTCAAGTGTCCAAGTCAGACACTCTAAGTATCCATGGACATTTTGTGTTATGTGAGATAGGAATGTAACTGAGTGATTGCACAGAATCTGAGTGCATCCAATTTAAGCAATGTCCTGATACTGGTTTGGAAAAAGGCTTTTACAGGAATTAGGATAGTGCAGGGTAATGTACCAAGCAGACAGAGAGATTCCTAGTAGTACTGCCTCAACTAGACCCCTTTGATCTAAACCACACAAGGTAGTTCCTCAGCTGTAGTAATGAATTACTGCCAGGGACAAGAATTCTGGCTCCCTTATTCTGTTTCTCTCACTGTTTCACAATGTGGCTCTAGCCAGCACCGTTGGCCATAGAAGCTCCTGGATGTCACCTTTATAACTGGCCTGTCAGCCTGCTGTTGGGGTAACAAGATTTTTTGAAATGGCTTGCTTTGGTGTGTATGTTGATCTTTTTGCATGGAATCTGACAAGTCTGTCTTTACCACAGCCCTGAGTGTGCAGAGTCAAATAAGACCAAAATGCCATTCTTGTGCTTCACTGGGGCTTCTGGAGACCCCCAGCAAAAGTTGGAGCAACCTCAGAATTTGCCTTCCCTAGCGTTCACTATCCCTAATTCATACAGGCTTTTAGTCCATCCAGGGGCATATTCTGCTAGTTTGGTCTTTCCCAGGCACAGCAATTTCTGTCTGGCCATCTTGTTATGGCTCCGACATCCCATTTGCACCAGGGCGGGGGCTCTGGTCTGAGCTCAGGATCCAGTACTCTGCTCTGCTAAGGGAGCTCAGGGCTTGATGGAGGGGCTGCAAGGCAAAAAGGCTGAGATGGGAATTAACACTGGGATTTTAACTGCAGATTGTCTCCCCCAGTCTGCAAGTCTTTGTTACGATGTGCTTCATTTCTACCCTTTTTATGGGTGTCATTTGCGCTTCCTCATTCTGTGTAGAGAAAAAACAGAAAAATGTTAGTATCAAAAGAGAATCTTTTGTTTGAGATAAGCAGGAGGAGGAGCTGGTTAGGTTTCAGCTTTGTGGTTTTTTGTATGTATCACAGGCAACCCTCTCCTCCTCTTTACATTTTTTTTCAAGTGGAAAAAGAATGAAAGAGGAGAAATCTTGCCTGCAGAATTACTTGCCCAAGTAATCTACTACATGTTCTCACTGCACCTTCATAGCATAAAGCCTTTTTCATTAGAGGCATATCATAAGATTAGCAATAAAATCAAACAAGCTAAATAAATTAAGCTGTAGCCTGTGTATCAGTCAAACACCCAACACCCTCACAGGATTGTTCCGACTGCGAGGAAGCTTTTCCTTATGCGCCGTCAGGAGGTTTTTTTATTTATGTCCAGAGAGAACCACTTGAAAGGAGTGCTACAACTTTTCAATGGCAATTATAAAAACTACATTTCACATGTTGTGTGATTAATGGGGCTATTACTTTGGCTTAGTTCTGGTTTCGCACATCAGGGTTTTTCCCTCTGTGGTTCCTCTGATAAAATGACAACTAGTTGGTGCAAAATGGCATTGATCATCTGTTCCAAATTATCAAGCAGGGCAGAAAGAAGGGCCTTGGGCTTCCCAGCTCCGTAAGCACACTTGCTGATATCCCTGGGACAGTCACATTTGTGCTGACAAATGGCCTCGTAAAGCCCATAAAGTACAACATTTCCAATTGAGACTTGAGCAGGCTGCCTCCTGAAACTGTACTTACTAGCTCTTCCCCTTCCCCTGCTTCCCCTTCACAGCAACAAACCTTTCATATATATTTAAAAGGAAAAGTAAATACCCTTTCTTGTGCTCCTCAGCTGTATTTATTTGCTCCTGGCTGCTTGCCCTGAGGCATCAGAGATGTCTCCAAAGCCTATTTATTTTCCTTCTGCCCCCTGCTAGCTAACTTCACAGCAGTACTAATATGGGCCAGAAAGCTCTGTCAGTCAGAGAGCAAACTGCAAAGGCTTTATTGGGTGTATCAGCATTACACTGGGTGCGTGCTGCAAGTACTAAGGGACAAGAGCTTTGGGTGAAAACTTTCACTGGGTGAAGGTCTAGACAATGCAGGATAGTAGGTAAATCTGTTAAAAGGAGGTAGGATTTAATTTTAGAGCTAAATAAATGCTGTCAGGAGGTATTTATCACCTTTTGTAGCCAGAAAACTTTAGAATTTAATTATCCTGATTTAGCAGTGTCACTGGAAAGGGATTTAAGGTATAATAGATCACTTTTCATACAGTGCATTTATCCACTTGCTATTACCTTTTGTCCTGAGAGTGGTTTATATTAAATGTCATTCTTTTTATTTTTATTGTTGCACCATCATATCTGAAATAATGTACTATTCTCCTTCTTCAATTAAACTGCAACATTGACTTGTATATATATGCTAAAGGTAGTATTTAGAATTTGCTTTCAAATCGTTGTTTTTACGCAGCTTTTCCCAAAGATATTCACATTCTCCAATCCTCTGGAAATGGTCTCCTTTGATGTAAATTTATCCTCTCCACTGGAAATTTTAAAAGAGGGCTCAGCAATCTGAAAGCACCATCCAGCGTTCCTAAGCCCTTCCACACAAAAGGGCTGACAGCAGGCCTACGAGGAGACTTTGGGGCAGCGCTGGGTGCCAGGAGCCCCCTGGGTGCCATCCTCACCGTGGCATCATCAGTGCGGGCTCGGGTCTCAGGCAAAGCTGCTCCTGCCCTGCTCTCCAGTGCAGGGGACAGGGTGCTGTTGGCTGGCAATCCTGAGCTCCTCCCGCTTTCAGGGGATGTAAAGGAGCTGGGGAGATGGTGGAGCAGATGTCTCAAGAGTGAGGCTGGGGTGCCTGTGTGCCAGAGCATGTCCCAGAGGATGCGATTACCCTGGTACTCAGGATGGAGCTGAAGGGTCACCTTAGCTCTGATGAACTGCCACCACACACTAAGCTGCAGGCCTCCACCTCGTGCTGCTTATCCGTAATCCCTCCGGGGGATCAGACCTGTCTCTCCTTGGGGCTGGGTGCTGCTCAGCACCAGGGAGAAGTGGAGCACAGAGGCACTGGGGGCCAGGAGCAGCACACAGGGCTGGAGGTCCCCTCCGTGCTGGATGCTGCTTCATTTCCAGCCTCTTGGAAAGCGTGGGACCGACTCTGCCACGTGGCATAGGGGGCTGGCATGGCCAACATGTTGGTCTGGCCTCAAAGCAAAACTGAGTCCTGGCAGGCCGTGACCTTAATCTGTCTGCTTCCAGGAGCAGTGGAAGAAGTGGGGCAAATCTCCCCCTTTTCCTCCAGAAGTGGTGGGTCCCAGCCCCTCTCACTGCTCCGAGCTGGACCCTGGTCACATAAACCACATTGTACATGACAGGCACAATTCAGAAGCTTAGCTGGTGGCAAATTTGGGCACTGTGAAAGTAAAAGGGGTTTCTTTGGTCCTGCTAGCAAGGTGCAGGTTATCCTTATATTGTCAGAAACCTAACGCAAACCTGTTTGTAATGGCTGACAGACATATTCTTAATTTTGGTTTTAAAGGGCTCTGAAAAAGACTACAAGCTGTGGGTGATTTCAGGAAGAGAAGATGCTCCTTACCCTCTTATTGGTAAGATCTTGACATGGTTTTATTTTGAAGCATTCACTCAGTTTTTAGTGCTGAAGGAAGCAAGTAATACAGAGAAGACAGAAATGGAGTTTCCTCTTTTGTTTTGTTTTGTTTTTCCTGTTTTATCTCTTAGTTCCCTGTCACACAAATTTGCCTATTTGGGGAGCTAGTCCTTTGTTTTGTCTGCTTGTGCCACTAAAAGATCAAAAAAGTCCATTTATTTCTGCCCTCTTTTGCTGCATGAGCCTCAGTCTTTCTACGGAGTCAGACTCTCCACTCACCTCCTCTCCTGGAGATGGCCCAGCTTTACCATATTTCTTCCTACACTTCCATAGCATTGTTTACTCCCCTCCTCAGTAAAACCTAGCAGAGTTTGGAGAAATGTTCTGTTCTTCCACCACTCAAGCCAACTGATTCAAGAGGTCCTTTCCAATCCTGTATTTCTCTTACTGGCTGACAGCTCCCCTCTGATTAGGAGCAAATTACTGCTTATTCACTTTCTAAAATGCTTTTCAAAACATTTCCTCTCCAGGAATCAACCCAAAGCTCAGAAGTGATTGGATGGAGTGATTTGATTTTGGCCCACGATTCACTAAGAACAAATCCCTTCCTGTTATTAAGAACCTTTCCCCATAGAAGCCCGGCATTACTTGTGCTATATAAGAGTTCACAGATGATTAGAACAAGAGAAATGGGTGGATTTTCTGTTTTCCTCCTGCAAATCTAACCCCAGTAAATCTTAACATTCCATCTTAAAGCAGCCTTAGCTACAAATGCTTTGCTGGAGTCAGACAACATTAACATTTATAAAATGTCTAACCTTATGGACAGTGCAAACTGCTTTGTCTTTGAAACATACCAGGCTTTGACTTTCCAGCTATTATGTGTAGCTTCTTCAGATGAATTCACAACCATAGTTTTAAATATAGAGCCAGAGAATTCAGAATGGGAAAGGTCTTTGTAACTGACTGACTCTCTCACTGCAAATTTAGGTTACAATATTTGGAAAAGAAGAATCTGATATTTAACTGATGCTGTTCTTGATACTTATACAAAGGTTTATCAGATAAAACCATCTTTTATCATGGATAGACATTAGAAGCAAAGTTTGACCATGCTTCGGCTTCACACTACCAATAACCTCAAATAACGTCTCTTCCACTATCAGTGTTCAAGTCTAAGTGCAAGTTAACTAAAACCTCTTAACACTGCACCCAGATGTAATATATTTCGTCTCCCAGGTCTTTAGACTAGTCCAAAAAGATATCTTTCTGGTGGCATTTTTGAATGCGCCTCCAGAAATTAATTGCCTCTGTGTAGTCCCCAAAGATGCTGGTTAATGATGAGCGTAGCTCATTTGCATTAGCCCTGCAATGAACATTTCCTTCCTGTTTCAGCCTCAGACAGGATCCGTAATTGTGCCTCCTTTGACTGAGGTGATGGCTGTTGCATGGAGAGGGAGGGAAGATCACTTTCACAATGGTCTGTTTGGTTTTGTATGCTCAGCAAAAATTTGATAGATGACTGCTCCCAAAATCTCATTTCTTGCCAGAACCATATGAGCAGCCAGTACCTAAATGTTCAGTGCCACAAGTAAAGCAGTAGAAAGAATGAACACTGAGCTCAGAAATAGTCACTTGTATTTTTTTCCTGATGGGCTTTTACGTGATACAGTTGTAATAGGTCTGATTTTACTTTTATGTCTGTTTAACTGCACTGAACACAGTAACTCCGTGTCTGCCAGCGTATGATTTATGCCAGTGTAAATATGCAGAAAAGCATCAATTCTGAGAAGATTACTGAGAGAGAAGTTGCTGCAGGCCAGCATGCAGAATCTGCTTTTCCTCCAAGGCAGATGGAGTTTTGCAAGTCTCCAGTCAATCCAACACAGTTTATTACGATTTATCTTTGAACAGGACACGAATATCCCTTTGGAATTAAAATGAGCCACATCCGTGACGCTATGCCCCATGGATCAAAGCACTGTGCCTGCCCCAGGCAGCTTCAGGGGTCCTTCCTGACGGAGCAGCTGCCCCAGGAGCTGCAGTGCCAGTTTGTGCTGAAGCCAAGCCGCCTGGCTGAGTGCCCGCAGCTGAACGGTACGTCGCCCCGCTCGCCCCACCGCCCTTCACCCGCAGCCCCGCTACCGCCCCGACTCTGCTCGAGAAGGCCAGCGTGCCAGGGCGGAGGGGTGGTGGGAAGCAGGGCACGCAGATGTACCTTGCAGCTGCGCAGGGTGGGGGGTTGCTGTGTAGCTCTCCTTGATTTGAGTATGCTGTTGTATGTGTGTCATCTTCGTAAGTTACATTTTGACAAGCTGCCTGTCAAACGGTTGTTCTAAAACCAGCGAAGAAAGACAAGGTCTCTCCCCTGCAATTTTTTGTAAGTCTATTAGCTGAGCTTCTCTCTGCAGCACTTGCCATTCGCGGTAGCAAGGCAGGGGGGTTTTGCAGTTCAGGAGTCAAGGTTTGACTTCAGCACAGAATTCCCATGCTACGTGTGGCAGCATCCTTTATCTCAACATGGTACTTAGGACTACACACCTGCCTCTCTGGGACCCTCACGTGGCAAAGCCTGGGCATGTGCTTGAGTACCTAGATGGAGTGAGAAAATACAGCTTCTTTATTTCAGTTCTTTTGAGTAAAATGAAGACAATATTCTGCCTTTGGCCTTGATGCTGCAAAAATATGAGCACCTGCTCTCTGTCTTGCACTGTTATCAGTGACACAATGCTCGCTGCTCATGAGTAAAACAAATGAGGGGATTTTTACAGGATTGAGGCGTTAGACTAAAAACTCCATAGGGCAAGGATGCATCCCATGGTGAGTTTTTATTGTGCTTAACACCCTGGCATACTCAGGAACTCTGCCTTACTTCACCATTAATGACTGTATAATAATAAAAGTAACATGTACACTGTTATCCTGTGCACTCCCCAACAGCTAAGATCTCCAACAATATGTCAATAGAATCCATTTGTAATGTTTTTAGAAATTAAATATAGTGAGGCTATTCCAGTGTCTGTTCTAAATTATTCCGGAAATTGATTGCATTTTATATAAATTAATTTCCTTTCCACAAGCCTTTATCCCCCCCCCTTCCCAGTAATCTGTATCATATATTACTTCATGGCATATTTTAAGAATGAGGCAATCTAGCAAAGGGGTGTAATTAGGTTTACAGGCCCTGCTTGGCAGCTGACGTTGACTGGCAAGAGAAAATAGAAATGCAAATCAGGCCTGTAAAGTTCTATTACAGATGTGTTGTCAGCGGTGCTGTGCCAGCCGCAGGAGGGGAGGCTGGCTTTGGGGCAGCAGAAGCCTGGGGCAGCCTGCAAGTCATGCATGGGGGCTGCACTAAGGGGAGAAAGAGGCTTTTAGGCCATTCACCTTCCTACTTTCATCAGACAAAAGCTTTTACAGTGATGTATGGGGCTGGCTGCTTGCAAACATGATTATCTTGACAGACCGCTGTTCATTGTGTTATTCCTAACTCCTCACCTATTTTGGTTTTGGAAAATGGTGAGGGGTATGTGTATGCAAACAAAGGCTATGATCTGCCCTTGGGCTCATCTTCAGATCAGCAAGCCCAAATCTGTGTTGCTGTTAGGTAATCACTAGGCTCACCACCCCGTGCAGGGCAAATTTACAGGGAGCGGAGTCTGTAACCCCACATTTCACTGCCATGCGTGCTGTGCTATCCTCCCTCCCATCACTTGCCTGCTCCGGGATCGCTGTGCTGGACACGCTGTCCCTTCTGGGGTAGTGCCCAGTTGTACCAGCCCACACCACGGTTAGGCAGCGCTGTAGGTGATGACAGGCAGATATGACTGACAACTGGCCGTCATGTCAAGTAAGTAGCTGTATGGGTGCCAACTGCGATGGTGTAGTTTCATCAGCTGTCCTGGCAGGATGGTTAAAAAAAGTACAGAAGAATTTACTGTGGGGAAGAAGGGGAGTGTTTCTGTTGCCTCTCCTGTAGGCTTTCAGCACGTAAGAGGAATGGTCACCTAACAGTTAAACATAGCCATTAAGTAAGGCTCATGAGCCCATGGCTAAAAAGTAGTGTAAATACTGGTTTGCTTAAAGCTTAATTTGAAAGAACCAACAGCTGTCAGTGGCTAGTCTGTAATCCAAATAATTGTTTAATTGTCCGTTAAAAGAGAAAGCAAAATTTCAGCAAGTTGGTCTTAGTACAGAACATAGGTCTTTGGAAACTGTTGGACAGTTAGGGCTTTGATTGAAAAGACACTACGTTGTTAAATAGACCTGAGGTTTTATTTAGAAGTTTCTCATCAGTTTGCAAAAAGAGGAAACGCTACTTTTGTGACTGGGACTCTACCTATTAACAGGAATTTCCTACTGGTAAAATATGAGCAAAATAGATGGCTGCTGAGAGTTCTGAGCAAGATCTGCAACCCAAGAAGTACTGCTTTTTTTCTGATTCTTGCCTAGAATAATCCACCAGAGCAAGGTCCTGATGTTCTTGTATGGAAGTAGTAATGCAGAGAAACAATTGGCATCTGTCTTGGCCGAGAGGAGCCTAGGCTTCTGCTAGTGTTGTAACTTTGTACAGGTTCAAGAAAAGAAAAGCTTCATCCTCCCTTTCTCATCTGCTCTTTACCTGAAGACTTCTCAACCCTCTTAGAAAAGGGGTATGAAAAGGAGGCATTTTCCTGGTTTTCAGTGAAAGTCGATTATGTAAGTGATGTGGCATTTTGTTGCCGTGCATCAGTTGTTGGTTTCTGGTTCTTCCTCTGAAGAACACTGATCAAGAGGCTAAGAAAAGTTCCTAATTTTAAGACCAAATTTTTCCAATTCTGCTACTCCTTGTTCTCCAAAATAGCATTCCTTATTAATTTTCATTTCCATTGACATCTTCGGGCCAGAATAAAGCACCAGTATGTATTTGTCGTTGTGTGAATAGAACTCCAAGTGAAGCAAACCGTATTCATGTGCTGATATCCAGCTCATCTGAAAGAAAAATTGGCATTTTGAAAGTTACAGGTTAGTTATGTTCTCCCAAAACATGATGTGTGAAGTAAAGCTTTAGACACTGCCAAACTTATATTTCATGAAGTTTCTGGACTGCTTAAAATGTATGTCCTCCTTATTATTTTTTATTACAAGAATTTTTCATCAGGCTTTCACATTCACATGTTCACATTTTGAGTTAAACTGTAACTTTTCATCCTGTAAGCCTCTAATGAAAATGCTTCCACCCATTCCCAAAGGGACCATGATCTAGAATGAAATGACGTATAACGAAAATCACTATTTGGGCTAAAAAACAAGTGTAGTAATGTATAGGAGAGAAAAATCTGGTATTATACCACAATCCTTACTTCTGCAAGCCTTACTTCTACCCTCTTCCCTCCACAACAGCAGAAAGGAAAATGTTTGACAAGGCAGAAGAACCAGATAATAGAAGGGTGCACAGGGTAGGTAAGCTGCTAAATCAAAGCTGACTGGCTTTGAAAACATCTGGAAAAGGAAAAATATATCAGAATGAGTTTTTTTGGTTAGCACGTTCATCATAAACAGTCTCAACTCACCCTTAACAGTAGCCCGTGCTGTTAAGAAGCATTTACACTGGCTGGTGTTGAGAAAGGTCGTATAAAAAAAAAACACCTTTCTGTAGCCTAATACCAGTATTTCCTTCTCTATGCACTGCAAATAAGAGCTTCAGTTCGTGATACTCTTTAGATATCTCATGAAATACATTAAAATAAATGAAGACAAACAGAACCCATCGGTGTGTTAGCAGCATGCTGAAATACCATCTGGAAGGCATTGATTAACGAGCAGGCAGTGTCCCTGGGCCGTGGTCAGCTAATGCTTGGAGCGAGGACACTTGCTTTGCAAGGAAGAGAGCAAAGGCGTTTTCCTGGTCTGAAACATCTCACACCATTAGTTGATTCTCTGACGCTACCTGTGGGGAGAGCGAGTGCTCTCCCACATTGCCAGGGGAACTAGAGTGCCTCCAGACAGCTAGTCAAGGTGAGGGCAGTGGTGTTTATATATTATTTATTTCAAAGAAGGTCTGTGGTTTGGCACCTGTGGATGGGTTGTGAGGCATTTAGCACAGTCCAGCTCCATGTGAAGTCAGTGGGCTGAGGTTTGCCATCCCCACACTGCGGTCCAGCAGTGCAGCGCAGGTCCTGGTGATCCTCTGAGGGTGAGGGTAAGGCAGCACATTCTACACACACAAGCACAGGTATGCGCGTGGTGGATTAAGCTGAGCCTGATGCCAAGGAGTTGGTTGAGTTCATGACATTTTTTCCTTTGAAACCATAGCAACCACCACAAAACAAACACTGGAATTAGAATTGAAATGCATTTCTTCTAATAAACACCTTTCTCTTTTCCCAGACTTAAGCCAAAAGTCATTTAAAAGGAAAAGATCGATCATAAATTGGGCTTTTTGGCGTGGCCCAGGCACTCACTTGGATAATGCACCCCTGTCCTCCACATCTGCTGCTCCTGGGAAGCTCTTTGGCCTCTTGCTAACAGCCATCTGTGAGGATGACAACCTGCCCAAACCCCTCTTGGTGAGTCCTAGGCTCAGGGCTGGCTCTTACAGCGGTGGAATTTCTTTGTGTAGTGAATGAGAACATGGGGACACTTTGTAAATGGGACGCTGAAATTACCCAGGAAGAGAAACTAGAAGGAAACCTCATATGTGGTTCTCAGCAAGAACTTTGGTTGTTAACATGTGCTGTGGTCAGGCCTGGTTAATACCAAACTGCTTGAGAAATGCATGTGATTGTTCTGCTGCTCTGGGCTATTTCTTCTTTATAGCCCATGCTGTAAGCTGGTTCCCTAATCCTCACTTACACAGTGTAAATAAATGCCACATTCACACATACTTTTTAAACCACTCACATCTGTGTAAAATCCCCAGGTACGGAATGTGGCATCTACTGTCCCATATAGCCAGTCTACGCTTCCACACAAATGCTCCCAGCCCTTAAGAAGATGGTTTTAGAGGCATCCCAGGGCAGGCAAGCACTCTGGGTCCTCATTTTTGACTGGAGAGCATCACTCCAAAAATGGATGGGAAAGTGGAGGCTGCAGGAGCACCTCAGCACCTTTTCATCCTGTCTCGAGGGAGCGCTAGTGCTGTGGGTACTCTCAAAACCAGGCCAGGAACAGGAAAAAGGTTGTCCATTCCAAGTGATAATTAAGGCAAATGTGTGGCAGTTTTGGTCAGGACTGAGGAATGCTCTGTTGTTGATGCAGCAATTGAAACATTTACAGTGGGAGTGAGCCCACAGGATTGGTACCCTCATCCTAACAGCCCAACTTGTGTCTGGAAAAACTTGCTGGAACTCCACTGAAATCAGTTCACAGGAAGAGATGGTTTGTTTCCTAAGCTGGTGCTTGATGTGCTGCTTTATCACTGCCTGAATAACGAATGATACTGGGACTTTTCAGGACTTTTAATAGTGTGGGTTTGTTATTTTCTTTTGAGCGAGAAGTATGCATTTTCATCATTTAGGTTATTTAAATAAGCCCTCTGGAGATGGAGTTTGTAAGAACCTGGTCCTTCATTCTCTCTGCTTGAAAGATGAGCCAATGCTGCATTTCAGAAATTTCTCCAAAACATAAATATTAGTAAATTTTTATCTGAAAAAATCCTGAAATTACAAAGCATAGAATCACAGGTTGGTAAACTTTGTGCTTTGAATCTTAAATGCTGTGTTCATACCACAGAATATAACTTACTTCTGGTTTCATGCAGCATCTCTGGAGAATGGAATACTGCATCTGAGGGACTGTGCAGGATTTACCTGCAAGAGAAGGAAAATATCAGGGATGAATGCTGCAGGCATGTCTGATATCTCTGCTTCAGAGCTTCAAATTTGCTTTCACAGCTGAAGGGCTGTCTTATAGCCACTGCCAACCTGAATTGTATTATACCATTAGCTTAATCACATAATTTTGTCTTGGTTTACTACTTTAGGAGGGGCTTCACAGTTTTATCTTGTGGGTATTTTATGCAAAATATATTTTCAAAGCATTTGTTCATGTGCTAAGATCCTGTGCTGTGGGACTCAGCCTGTTTTGACACCAGAGCTCTAAATCC